ATAGTCCTCCAGCCATGATAACAATCTTTTTCTATATTGAAAGATGACATTTACTTTGTTTTGAACTGTTATGTGTTAAGTATTACTTAAAAAGCAGCTAGATTGATTAATCTTATGTATTGTCTGTGTTAATAAGATTGTTAATGTTATAATGTTATAATGATTTTTCTGTAAAATGTGAATCCATATTTATTTGTATTTGTTTTTTTGCTTAATTTTTTTATTTAATTTAACTTAATACTGTTTTGTTGCTTAATTTTAACTTAATTTTACTTAATACTTTTTTGCCCTGTAAGCTGCTGGTAACCTTAATTTCCGGAGGGAGTCTTCCCAAGGAATCAATAAAGTTCTGTCTAAGTCTAAGAGGTACTCTAATTAATGATCATAATACACTACAAAAGTAAAGAAAAGGTAACATCTATTCCACATTTGCAATGTATTGCAAATGTCAGGAAAAAAAAATAAAAGAAATCAATTAAATTCTCCAAAATTACAGTTGAGATCCAGATATACAGTAGCTTATTTAGAGATAAAATATATATTTTTAATCATTAATGTACAGTACGGCTTAATATTTGTTCGTAAATACTTGTTCCTTTAGCAAATACAGTCTTTAGACTCAAGTTAATGATTATTCAATTACTAATAGTTGAGAATTATTTTAACAATAAAATAAGCATCATTAAACTGATCAGTTGGTTCAGAATGAAGTTCTTCTGAGATGTTCTAGTCTACTTCATGAAGAGGGACGGGTTCTTTTTAAGTAGTTAATTTTTTATGCACCAGGAGATAATTAGCCCTGGATGTGGTTAGGGAAAATAAAACTTGTTCATCACAGTTGTTTGATACTTAAAATATAGGGGTGTTTGTCACATCAGACTGATGTAGTATAAGTTGCTTTTTTCCCAATAGTTAAAGTGCTGCATTGTAGTGCAGGACTCGCAGCCTAGTGGCAGCCTTGGAATCCTGAGGTTCTGGGTTCGAACCCCACTCCCACAGACTGTCACTCTGGCTCTCTGAGCAAAACCCTTAACCCCACTCTGCTCCCTTGGCGCCGCACAATTGCAGCCCACTGCTCCTCAAGGGGATGGGTTAAATGCAGAGATCAATTTCTCCAAAGTGACATAAACGAAGTTCAATTATTATTAATATTGTATAATAACTCAGCTTATTTTTGGTATCAAAATTACTTTGTTGGCAAAAAACAGCAATAACAGAAGATATCTGTAAGGGAGCAAATAGTTATTTTAAGACATTGCAGGTGACATTCATTTCTCTAATGGTAAATGCTGTGCTCTTGTGTTATTCAAAAGGCTGAAGCCATTTCTGGGACATAAATGAATTATACTGAAGTTGCTGCTTAAGTAGAGGCCAGAGTGTGAGTAGAAGCCCATCCACCCTCCCTCTTCACTCAAAAGGAGATGTCATCTCATTCCAGTGTCAGTCCACAGCAAATAATCGGATTTGGTGGTTTTGGGCAGGGGGGGCAACCTGCCCGTAATGCATCAGCAACTGGAAAAGCTCCAGTGTGCTCACCTCACCACCCCCAACTACCAGGGCCATGAGCGCAAGGATTCGAAAGCTCATCTGACACGTGATTCTGCAAACATGCGAAAGTGCTTCCTTAAGTGGAAATCCAACAAAAAGGAGCTGGGTGAAGGACAAGGATACATGTGTTAACAATGTGCTGCACCTCGTCTCTTCCAGGGCCTGTTGACTGCAGAGAAGCCATCTTTCAACAGCTGATATTGGCACTGATGCTAATCTAATGTGACCTGAATGAGTTGCCATAGCTTGGCCATTTATTTATTTTTTTAGAAAAAAGGTATCTTTGAACAGTTTGCATGGAGTGACTTGTTGCTGGAACAGCTTCATGAATCAGAAAGTGAAATGTTGTGCCACATGTATCAGAGCGCCTCGTCGATAATGACTTGCTCAAAAAAAAACAAAAAAAAAAACACCAGCTGAATGTTTCGCTTTTGAACAATCACTGGAGGTTCGGCTTAGATTTCATTTCTACCTGTCAATACTTTCTCATCTAAAAATGACATAAATGTAACATAGCACTTTATTGTAGCTACAACATAAATGTACTTTTTATAACACAACATGACAATATCACCAGTGGAAAATGCTATTGCATTGTAAGCGCTTCTTGAAAAATCAATCCACCCAATTACTTTTACATATTTATGTTTAACTATGAGTTTTAATTACAATACAACAATGCATGTTTCAATGATGTATCATCAACACACAGAGATCAATTTTTCAGGCCACCTGCCACTAAAATGATGTTTGTATTGTCAATATGAACAGCAAACATTGATAATAATAATTCAGCATTGGTCTAGAATAACAAAAAAAAGGGTTGAATGAGTGGAATAGCACCTTATGCCAAATGTTTAGCAAGGTGGATGACTTGTTTCCTTCCCAAACACCCTGGGCTATAGCAGCTATTTTACATAAAAAGTATTTAGGGTACAAAAGACGAGCTTTTTTTTTTAAATTATGGACAGAAAAAAAATCCATACTGGATAAATTAAAGGGTGGTTTACCTTAATTTAACATGGGATGTTTTAGAAGTTTAAAATACAGAAATTAAAACGTTAAAAAAGTATTAGAAAAAATTGTGTCACATCACAGCAGGAAGGCTTAAGGGAAGTTAGAAGAAGAAGAACCTCTGTTACTTTATCTGAGCTCCCTGAAAACTCTGACTAAATGTCAAGATCACAGAGTCCCCCTAGACTTAAAGGGGATGATATCAAAAGGCTTCTTTTGTTGCTGTATGTTCTACTAAATAAGACGTCTTTCTCATCATTGTCTGACTTGTGTTTTTGCTTCAGCCTTTAAGTTCGCCTTTCATGCTGAGGCTATCTTGCATTGCTCCTAAAGTTCAAAGCTCCAGCCATGGCTGTGAGACCCTGCTGTATTAGAACACATGGATGAACTCCAGTGTATTATTAATCCTTTGGTTCTTCACCGACTTATAGAAAAATATACCCGTACTAAACTATTATTGTGAAAAAGGAAGTTATCTGAAATTAATGAAAAATCGGCACAGTTTCTACTTGGTTGAAACATACTGCACACCATTACAAAAGCTGCCTTGGACAGCACAGTATCATTAAAGACATATCAGGAAGGACAGGAAAATATGCAAATCAGAGCACTTAGAGCCATCAACATCAAAGCGCCCACAAAGAAGCCAGCCACAAATAGAACAAAAGCATTAGTTGCAATAAGACTTGGCCTCGGGGCTAAGTTAGGGCACAAACGCTTGTTGTTGATTCTTGTGGCGATAAGGCTTGCTTTAGCATCATCACTGCCTATGTACATATACCAGTGGAGTGGATTTAATCGCACTAATTAGAATGCACTCAAGGCAAAATGCAACATCTACTGGAATAATCTGAGAGAAGAGATCTCCAGTCCAATTTATTCTCCTGCTCTAGGTTTCCGGAGGGGAGGGTAGAACAGAAGATCTGTTTTTGGTAAAACGAGTGAGCGGCTGGTGTCTGGTGGTTGGGTGCATGTGTCACTTTGGACTGGTTGCCATTTCGAGGACAAGCTGCAGGGAGGCCACTCATAGGGAGGCGGTATGTTTGTGTGTTTGGGTGTGTGTGATGAAAAGGGAGAAAGCGAAGACACTCTGACAGAGTGAATCAGAGCTTTAGCAACAAAGATATAGAACCAGACATGGGCCGATTACCAGTATCAGGGTTTTAAAAAGTTGTCGTTTCTAAACTGGTGTGTCCTTTTTTTTTCTACGGAGCACAGAGTAGCTGCAATGCATGCTCCTGCACATGTCTTATAATCTGGCTGAAAGAAGACACTTTCATGTCTTTTCCAAGTTAAGAGGAAAGCTGGAAAGAAAGTAGCAGCAAGCAGTCGCCAGCATGATGACCACCAAAGCATTTCTGCTTTGGTGATTAATTAATCCTCCTGATATTGGCTTATTACACCTTTGGTAATCTGTTTAAAGTATAAGTGGAGCTCATAATTAGGTTTCACAAGTTAAGTTAAACCAAGGTTTTGAAAAAATTATAGTTTCAAAATTCATACATATTTGTTATCATAGCCATCAATTAAACATCTTTTAGATCCCAGAGAATGTGATGCACATATTTGCACAGTACTGCCCCTCCCCTACATGTTGCTGTTTTCTGCCACAGTAGGCTAAAAGAGGGCTGCTCTACTGTTAATTAGCTCACAAAAATTGGATTAGAATGATTTGGTGGGTTCTATTTTTTTGTTATGGCTGCCAAGGCCAAATTTTTAAAACATGCAACATTTTTATGACTAGGTGACTAAAAACTGGTTAACAAAGTTATCCTGCCTAATTATCTTGCAAATATCAACTTTGTATATGTTCCACAGATGCAATAATCGGAACAATGCTGTGGTTAATACTGATATGTTGTGAGGTGCACAGTGGTGCAGTTGTTACCACTCAAGAACATCCTTAGTTTGTATCCCAGCCTTAGATTGTTTATGATTGGATGATTGGATCACCTGTGTTCGTATGGTCTTGTGTTCATTTTTTATTTCTCAATAGCATAGTATTGTGAAGCATTGGTATTCTACATGATTATAATACCGTAAGTCTCTGTAGAGATGTACCAATCCAGTTTTTTTCTGTTCTAATCTAATACCAATACCTGGGCAGAGAGTATTGACCAATATCTGATTGAACTGTTGAATCAATTAACCATATACCCTGCCATGTGAGGGAAGGGTTAGGCCTTGAAATAAATATTTCTAATAAAAAGTAACAAATCAACAGATATAAATGTACTTTACATAATTTATTAACAAATGCGTAGCAAAATGAAAGAACAAACAGTTCCATATAAAGCGCACTGGATTGGATCTCTGATACCAAACCAATGATATCCGATCCAGCTAATTTGCCAGTATCAGAGCAGATATTCAATCCAATCTAATTCTCTCATACTGGCCCATAGCTACATACAGCAGCAGAGAAGACCAAATTGTACCTGTAGGAGGGATCATGCCAGGAGACATGAGTCCAGGCACCGAGTGGGGCATGATGTGGGGGTTCTCAGGCGATGTCACACTTTGAGTCCTCTTCGGAGGTCGTCCAGGTCTGGAGCTGCAGACAGAGGAGAGAAAAGTACAACTTGAGAGAAGCGGAGCGGCTGTGTGGGCAGCGTTGGGGGGAAGCAGCAGAGGGGTGGAAGTGGCGGTGGGGGTTGTTGGGGATGGGGGGAATGTTAACATTTGCAGCTCACTAGAATGCAATGCCATTCCAAAGAGCTAACATGTACTGTAAATAAATTTCTTTTCAAGGACAGTTGCTTTCTGGAGCTCAACATAATAGACTTCCATAACTAATTAGATTACATGCTGAATTCATTTCCTTTATTGAAGATCAACCACTTTTTGATGCATAATTCATAACCTGCACCTCGTTACCTGTTCCCCCGTATTAATATCCCCACACTATTTGAATTGCCTCGTTTGCATATGCTAAAATCCAGCGCTCGGCCCTCGGCCTGGAAATTACATGTTAACTTCTTATAATTATTGCAGTCAGGCCACTATTGATTTATGAGACTTTTAAAAACCAAATATGTGTAGTTCTGGTAATGAATGATATTTTAAGGTTCTTCAGGAAATTAAAAGGCAATGGCTGCCTTAGGAAATGTTCTGCTTGCTTGATTTAATGCGTGCCTTAGCTGGAAGGTGGTGTGACAGAGTGATTCAGACCTGTTGGACGGTTCTGATGGGGGAGTTTTATTACACCAAACGAGGGGCACAGATCCAGCCGTGATAAATGACTGTGCCACCTCACCGTGGAGAAGAAAAGGCCTTCAAAGCAGATACACCCTTGACTTTCCTCACATCTTACTCATTCACTTATTAATACAGCTTCGAGTTTCAATCAATACCTACTTTGCTGGCTTATAGTTGCAAAGAAAAGCCTACAGGGCACAGGAAAAAAAGAAAAGAAAAAAAAAACAACGGGCATGTGAGGCAACGAGATCCTGTAGAGGCATATTCTTTATGAAGCAGGGGCTGCATGTCTCAGCTGAAGATGAATTACGGTGACTTGACACAGGTGACATATTGGCTTCATACATTATTTCACACAGAAGTCCATTTCAAGCTTTGGCAAGATACAAAGTTCCCTCTTAAATGACTCAAATCTATTTTTAAAACACATTGTGTTCTCTAAAGCATAGTGTAAATACCCAAACTGGACAAACATTGGGACATTTCAGCTACAACACAAAGTGTTTGTGTTTTCATAATCAGGTTTTTTGGCTTTGTTCTTTTACTATTCTTTTACATTGTGCTTTTACTATTCACATCTATTCAATGGCTTTTACACAAAAGCAGACTTTGATGCATACAAATCTGCATTTAATTACCGGTAATTCCTTAAACATTGCTAAATACACCAAACCTTCAGCAATAAAGATTTACCAAAATTAAATCATTGCAAAGAGGAGACTAAATTTGGTTCTGTTCTTTTCAGTTGATTCTAAAAGAATTGCAAAGTGGATATCTATGTTTAAATATATATATATATATAGATATATAGTTTTCATTCTACTATATAAATGTTCCTGGTATTACAAAATAATTAGACTTGTCTGTTTTATTAAATAATTGTTTAAATTAATTTGATTTGTTTTCTGTTTTTTCTATGCTCTACATGAAGGAATAAAGGTTGGTCTAAGTGGTGGACTTTGATATTAAGTGTAGGAGACTCTATGTTCATTACTGTAGTACTATTAATGTATTCAGAATGAAGTGGAAACACAGAGATGTAAATATAAAAAAGCAATTCAGGTTATCGTGACACATTTTCTGTGGTTTATTAGAGATGCAAAGGAGTGCGAGCAGAAAGTCTAAATGTCTTGCAATGTGTTTTTTATTTATCCTTTCGAACTTGAACCTAGACTGTCTTGCTATATACAGTACTACGTTTGGAACTATTGGTAACTTTTCGGCCGTCTCAAAGTTAAGGAAAGGATCTGTAGACTCTAAAATTATTATAGAGAGACTGTTGCTTTGGTGAGACTGGTTCTGCTAAGTTCCCATCAATCGGAAGGAAGAAAAAAATACTTTAAATTCTTTTTTTCTTATTCTTTGTAGTTGTCAAAGAGAAATTGAGATAAGCTACAACTGGCTAGTGGCACTTTTAATTCAATAACAAAAAATGAACACTGGAAATTGACTTCAACTTACTTGTATCTTAGATGCTGGTATATTTTTTTATCAACCTTTCAAGTACATTTCAGAGACTGTCCTTTTTTCTTTATCATTCAAACTGTAATTAAAAAACTCATAAAATTTAGATCTATCATTTAAAAATATATACTTTTGCAGATTGTCCAAGCTGTTTAAAACTAAATGAGCTAATGTAGCTAGCCAACAAGTGCCTTAAACCTATTAAGTAGTAATCACAAAAATTTACAATTTCCCTGTTTAATAATCAATAAGCTAATGAAGCAAAACCTGCTACGTTTTAGTTTTCCACCGCCTCTTATTTTAGCTTCCTTCGGATGTTGGATTTGCAAATGCTAACTTGTATTAAAACTGACAAGTTAGTAAAACTGTTTATTATGTGTAAGGGTAATGTTTTACTGAAAGTGTTTCCTCATTGAAAAAATGTAATTCTTCAGTGCTAACTGGTTTACAATAAAAAAAAGAAAACTAACCAAAAAAAAATCTAAAAAAAATAAAAAATTTAAAAATTGCCCATACAACAAAACATAGCATATACCTCCCCCCGACAATGTTATCTGTTTTTAAATATATCTTAATATCTAATTGGAACGTTTAGGTCAGAGGTATAGTGGAGGACATTCACGAATTTTTGAAAAGACCCGCCCTCTCCACTTTGAAAAAAATGCACATGCACAACCCTGTACCCACTCCCAAGAGGGAACGCCTATTAAACTTGTGCAAGAGCATGCATGAGCCCTGCTCGCGTGCACTTTGTTTAAAAGTTGCTGTTTGCATTACTCATACAAGCTTGCAAAAGATTTTTAATTTTCCCTTATGTCAGACTCACCTCTGATAAGTGAAAATGGGGACGAGCACGTAGGACGGCCTTACGTAACCATATCACCAGAATGATTGGCTATTAGGAGGACCATTTATTTTGATGATCCAACTGGAAAAAGAACCTATACTATACTTTTAAATCCTTTCCATCCTTAACTCACTATAGGGTCACAAAACATGTACTGTAAACATTGCAAATGTTTACATTTTTGTGACTTATTTCTCCCATGACAATAGCTGGAAACTTTATCACATCTGCTTTGATAACCCCTGTCACAATTCGCACAAACATTTCTCTCTAATTTCTATTTCTGGAGCTTCTTGGAGTTGTATTACAAACAAGGAACAGTCTTCCTCTCAGAGTATGCGCAACAGTTAAAACAACTAATGCAGGTAGGCTTTCCAGTCCAACAAAAACGAGCTCCTCTTATCAAGCTTTAAAGTGTTATTTCAGACTTTATCAGCCAGCACAATATATGGGGCTGTTTGTGTTACAGTACATTTCCCTACATTTCCCAAAGGCAGTATCTGAAGACAGACGCAGTGGCTTTAGGAGCAGCCTTAGTGGTTGAATTTATTCAGCCATGTCTTGTGAGGTTTATTTACCTCACTAGTGCTAATAGAGTGCACTCACTCTGTCTGTCTGAAATTGCTGACTCTTTCATATATATTGGCTCTGGAGGTTTTAGGGCTAAAAGCAGACTTTCACCCAACTGTGTCCCTTTGGAGAGGAATCACAAGGGAACGAAAAAAGAATCAAGAGGGAGAACGAGTGACAACTGAGGGAAACAGAGGGGAGGAGAACGGGAGAAAAAGAAACGAGCACTCGTTCAACCTACGAAGGTCTGGAAACATTATCCCGATTCATACAGAAGCACCTCTTTGATCCTATGAGAGGGTGAGATCGCAGACAGTTTTGCTGTCATCACTTTCACTTGTACTCTTGCTGAATTATTTATAAAAGAACTCAATAGAGGGCATAGGAGGGGTAAAAGTCTTTTTCACTCACAATACTAAAGGTAAAAAATACGCTCTCAAATGGACACAAAAAAATGTCACATCAACCTTAGATCATGTCAAAGCTCCATCACAAAGGCCCAGTTAAGTACACCTAATGTTTAGATAGACTGCCAGAGAATATGTCCGTGTGTTTAAAGGGGGATAGCATTTCAACCACTCTCTTCAAACAAATAGCACTGGCCGGTCATGAAAGCAATACGGCAACTGAAACGCTTTGAACTGAGGAACCTCCAAGCAGCAGGAAGGGCTCGAAGAAATAATATCACCGTCTCCTTTCCTTACGGCTGACTGGGGGTCTATATTAGAAAAAAAAGCAAACAATTTGTCAAAAAAGGGGTCAGAGTAAAAAAAAATAGTTGGATTTCCTCCTGACTTGTTCTGTTCAATGTTTTTAAAAAAACTAAAGAAACAGATAATT